CATTGTTGAAGACTTGACCCTGTCGGAAGAACTGGAGGAGGCTTCACGTTCAGTCTACGAGCTGGCCAACAGCCGTGCTCTTCGACGACTTCGTCTGGATGCTGGGGAGTCGTCGACCTCGGAGAAGGCTACCACCACTAGTAAGGATCTTCTGGCCCGACTGGATCTCAGCGAAGCTGAACTATTGGCCTCCTCCTCCTCCCAGCCGGCAGCAGAGCAGAACACTCTCCTCGCAGCCATGGAACGGGAGAAGGAGGAAACGGAGGAGCTGCTGGATCTCATCAAGGGTGGAAAGGCGGCGGAAGCAGCCAAAGTGGCCTACGAAGCGGCTGAATACCTCCGCAAGCTGGTTGACTCGCGCGAATGGGGACCCGCGGTACTCTTTATCACAGAGTGAGTATCTGTTTCCACCTTCTTCTTCTTTGACTAACTTCTCGGTTTTCATGCGCATGAACAGTTCATAGGATTACTCCCCCCTCCCCCTCTTCGGTGCTTCTGATTGCTTCCGTGACCACTGAATTCAGAACGTAGTAATGTCTTCTTACCGTTTCCCCTTCCGACCTCTGTTGCCTCAATTAAGTTCTCTGGTCAAAGACTCACCATAGACGGTGTCGAGTTCTGTTAGGTGACAGCGATAGTAATGAAACTTCATTTGCCATGCAAATTATTAGAAAAGGAGGCGACGCTCCCTAGAAGGGATTACGTTGGCTGCCTGGCTTTCCATGCGGGTTGTGCATCTTCAGAGGCGGGTGCATAATATGACAAAGCAGTCGCAGCTTTCATCAGATCTGAGCTTTCCTTAACTGACATCAACTGAAAAGTAACTGCGTGCCCTTTTGGATCACAGCTTGTGTGTCGACGAACCTTGGCTTCTCACAGAATTCGGTTAAACTAAGTTAAAGCTATAGAAAAAAAACCTCCGAAGACATAATTTTGCACAAAAAAAACGTCATTACAGAGTATATATTTCGTGCTTTTTAAAGGCGTGATGTTATAGCATCATTGCCAGCCAGTCTGTGGTTCCCAAGAAATGACAGACATTGTTGTAGGAGACGTCGGGGTCACCCTTTTTGTAGCGTCTAAGCATTGAGTATACTTGGATCACTACAATCATCAGGCCAAATCCCCAGGTTGAAGGTAAAAGGCAGAAGTCACCTGTGTGAAGGGTTTATTGTATACAGAACTCCAAGTTGCTGGGCAGTGGCCAAAAGCGAAGCCAGGGCTAGTGTTGACTGCGTCTAGTCAGGCCTAAGAGGGAGCATAGGACAGTGGTGGCCGTTGTTTAAGTAGGATTGCGGAGCAGGTTTGAG